TGTCATGGGGTTTTTGGGTACACGACAATGGGACACATAAGGGCTAAGGGTGACTTAGATCAACTCCAGTGCTCTCTATGTGTGTATTCAGTGAATTAATGGAACAGTCTAGAAAAAACCTACTAAAAAAGAAACTTGGAAACTCAGGCCCATCTAGAAACACAAAGAATGTAGACTACGTCAAGATATTTTTTTCTTTGGTGATTTTCAAAATGATGCTTGACATACTCTCTACACAGTCATTATTTCTAGATCCCACTGGACTGGACGATTGAGGGACTAGTCTGAAATGCGACCCTTCTGCATTCTGACATTTCCAGACCATTGTGCACTGTGTAAGGAGCAGAGAGCTCCCCAGGTCTAGAGATGTGGCACAGCCTCTGGAGTGGCACAGCCTCTGAAGACTTGTGTAGTGAGTATGCCTCTGGATGTGGCAAAGCTAGCCTGGACCATTGTGCACCATGTTAGGTAGCTGCTAAGCACTTATGGTAAAGCGCTGTGGCACAGTGTAACCCTATATATCTATTGCGTAGAGACACGCTGCTGCCGGTAGAGATCCCAAAAATATTGTCAGGATTCACACTGCCACTTGATTGACAGCTTTCTAGAGGCAGAATCAGCTGTGCTCGCCCCCTTCCCTGTCTGTCCCTCCAAGCAGCAATGGAGGAACGGAGAGGGGAAATCCCTGCAGGCAGTGGGTGACTGACAGTCACCAGTCTCTGCAGGGAGAGGATTGGGAACTGAGTGATCAGCGGTATGTGATCTCTTACAGTTCTTGATCTATAGAGCCGATGTGTGACAGCCAAAGTGTTACACATCTGCTCTAATTACTGGGAAGAGTGTATTTTACTGTCCCCATAGATCTCCTTTTTAAAAAAATTGCCTGTTGATACTTTTTAAGTTTTTTCTGTTACCCTCGGGATAACTTAGCAATTTACACCCTAAGCAGTCCCCCCCTTATGTACACCAACAGTTATTATGATGGTACTCACCTGTACAGAGTCTTGCAGCTAGTGACACATGTACAGCCTCCATTGTATATTTATAGGATATCTGCTTTTCATATTTCCTCCCACCTCACATTTCCACCACACTGACGGCGGGGAACCTGGTAGGTATTATAGCTACAATATCATCTTTTGCATTATTAC